TACTACTACTACTACTACTACTACTACTACTACTACTACTACTACTACTACTACTACTTATACTACTACTACTACTACTACTACTACTACTACTACTACTACTACTACTACTACTACTACTACTACTACTACTACTACTACTACTACTACTACTATTCTACTACTACTACTACTACTACTACTACTACTACTACTACTACTACTACTACTACTACTACTACTACTACTACTACTACTACTACTACTACTCCAACGTCTACTACTACTACTACTACTACTACTACTACTACTACTACTACTACTACTACTACTTCTGACTACTACTACTGACTACTACTACTACTACTACTACTACTACTACTACTACTACTACTACTACTACTACTACTACTACTACTACTACTACTACTACTACTACTAATACACTACTACTACTACTACTACTACTACTACTACTACTACTACTACTACTACTACTACTACTACTACTACTACGACTACGACTACGACTACGACTACGACTACTACTACTACTACTACTACTACTACTACTACTACTACTACTACTACTACTACTACTACTACCACTACTACCACTACGCGCCAACAGCCAGTTGCGCCAGCATTGTTGTTATGGGGTGGGATGGCGTAACGTGTCTGCTGTTCCTTTCAACGTGGCCAACTGACGTTGCGAAATTCGCGGCGGGAAGGGGACGCGGCGCACATCCCGCGCGGACGTCAATGCGGTGTCCTGGGGTATCCTCCACTCGCACTGAAATTCCCGCGCAACCCCGAGCTGCGCCATCGCTGTTTCTTATGTTGTGGGAGGGCGGGTGGGAATGGGCATGCCACGCTTGACTCGCTCGAGCTGGCTAGCTTGGCCCCACCGCGCACACCCCCCCCCCACCCCACCCACCCACGCCCCCGCCCCGGAGTTAACGGCCCCCCTCACGCATTGCAATATACAAATGACTGCGCCCCGTCGCCCATCCTAAACGCGAACGCACATCGCCCCCCCCCCCCCCGCCATCCTCTGCAAGAATCCAAGAACCCCTTGCGAATATCACCACTAAGTCATCGCGCGCGCCCATGTCACAATCGCACCAAACACTATGGATTCGCAGGCGTGAAAGCCCAAGGGTCTTGCAACGCAAACGTTGCAAATGCCCCGTCCGCGCGCTCATGCTAATGTCACGCAAAAACCTAGGGAGTCCTATGATTTCTGCCAACTCCAGCGATTGCACGCCGCCGCGCGGTGCACCCGCGATACTCGTGCCATGCGCCGAGGGCGCGAATCCCTTGCAAAACATAACGCGTCGGCCACATGCGTGCACCGCCGCGCGCGCATGATCAGCCTGACGGATGTGTTGAACTTCCGCGAGCGCGGATCTCGTTTTCAACCTTGTGAGCATCACCGCGATCACCTCCCTCATCGACAGATGGACATCAGCATCGTTAGCGTGTTTGCCATTTTTGGCGCCGTGATCGTTCGTGCCGTCGCCCTCTTGAACATCGCCCTCGCTGGTGCCAACTTCGTCATTGCCGCAGACGTTGCCAATGTCGTCTTGTCATCGCGCACGTCCGAGTATCGTCGACATGCTCACCTTCATCATCGACTCACGGTAACGGGCATCGGCAGTGAGGATGTTATCATCAATGTCGTCATCGGTGGCGCCGCCATCCCCCGCATCATGAGTTTTGCCCAACAAGTTGCGGGTGGGAGGGTGGGATGTTTGCGCGAGCAGTGGAGATGACGACTTCAAGCTCAGCAGAGTGGTTTCACACATAGGATTTCAAACGGTGACGTTGCGTATGTGTTTTGCGCTCCGATTGTTTTCGGTGTTTCAGAAATTGTGCTCCCGCTGCAGCGTGGGCTGCATTTTCGGATCGGCGCTTTGTTCCCGTCGTTCGGAAATGGCGCTCTCGCCCCACCCTTGGCCATTTTTCTTGATCCCGCAGGCCCCCGCAGGTCTCGCAGGCCCCACAAGTCGCACAGAACCACAGGTGTCGCAGGTCGTCATACAGGTCCCACATATCTGACAGGTCCCACAGGTCCCACACGTCCCACAGGCGTCGCAGGCCTCGCTGGCTCCACAGGCCCCACAGGTCCCACAGGTGTCGCAAGTCTCAAAGGCCCCACGGAGGTCACCCGAGTCCAGCAGGTCCCAAGGGTCCCGCCAGTCCCACAGGTCGTGCAGGTCATGGAAGATCAGCAGTTCCCAGAGGATCCACAAGTGTCGCAGGGCTCACAGGCCCCACAGGCCACAGAGATACCTAAGGTCGCCCAGGTCCAACAAGTCCCGCAAGTCCCACAGGTCCACAGTTCCCGCCTGCCCCACAGGTCTCACAGGCCGCAGGAATCCCACAGGTCCCACAGATCGCACAAGTTTTACAGTTCCCCCTTCCCCACAGGTTACCTTTGCTGCTTCGAAGGTGCTTTGCTGGGGAATTGGAGTTCCAGGTCGGCTATGACACGCGTGCGCGGATAAAGAAAAATGAG